ACCTAAGAGCGATGGCCTCCAACCTAACAGCGATGGCCCCCAAGGTAAGAACGATGGCCTCCAACCTAAGAGCGATGACCTCCAACCTAAGAGCGATGGGCTCCAACCTAAGAGCGATGGCCTCCACCCTAACAGCGGTGGCCTCCAACCTACTAGCGATGGCCTCCGACCTAACAGCGATGGTCTCAAACCTACGTTCTCTCCCTCTCTCTCAGTTTATAAGATAAAGATTTTAGTTGTGTTTTTTTGATTAAAAGGTGGTGTCTTTGTAGATTCTATATTGATCTGTCTCAGTTGTTCTGCTGAATCAGCTCCAATTAGCTATAGTCTAACAGTCTGACTTGATCTTGGTTGTTACAAGCCACTGTGGTGGAAATCCGATGATTGTTTTTGTGTGTTCTTTAGATTAATTTATCTATTCGATTGGTCCAGTCATAGAGGATAAATCAATCTTACCTTTTAAAGGACCACTGCCAGGTAGCAACCAAAGGGTCAGGGCCACTGTGTCGTTGGGTATTTGTCTAGGAACTTTTTATTCACTGCGACTCTGTGAGTGGGACCGAACTCTTTTTCGTAGCCATTTTGCAACAGCCATTCGCAGTCACTCGAAGCATTCACTCGACAGCCTAGCTGAGCCATCTACCATCATCTTCCCGGTCAACCCGGATGACGTCCAGACTGGCACTGGTGGCGTTGGCGACACTGGAGACGAGCGCGGGCCCCACTGGTGGCTTCCTGGCAAAGGAAGAAGTGCCAGGTGCCTCCGGAAATATTAAAGAGTTCTTGTAAGAGAAAGACACTTGAAAAAAAAAGAAGAAGAGTCATTATTGAAGGGACCCTTACCTTCTTTTTCAGACCCTAAATGTTATTTTCTTCGTCTGAATGGCAACTGGGAGCAGGGGTAGCAAAGTTTACTTTGCTTGTCGTCAAATAATCAGTTGAGGTCGGGCAAACGCCGACTCGGCCTCTATCAATGAGGCTGGAGCAGTGACATCAGCTGGAACGTATTTCAATATCAATGGCAAGGGTGACAATTACACCTACCAGTACATCACAGACTGCTATGGCCGTGGCCCTGCAGGTGAACCGTACCATTGTCCTGAAGGGACATGGTGTCAGGCGTGAGTTGAGCCGTTCATTCAGGCGAAACAAGTGGATTGCAGTTTTGCTAAGACAAAATGACTAATGCACACGTAGGATTGATCAACCCCCCCTTCAAGGTCAACAAGGCCAACAAGGTTTGAGATTGGAGGTATTAGAGACCACATCCCCCTAACAACGATGATGACCTGATGATGGATTATGGTTGCTAGGATTCTGTGTGAACCATGAAGGCCTGTGTAAGGGGCTTTAAAACCTGAAGATTTGATAGAGTTTTAATAAGGGAAAATAAAAGGATTTTGCTAGAGAGTTTTTAGGGATTGTGGAACAATAATTGGGATTGATAGTAAATAATAGTATATAATAATAAATATCATAGTAAACTATTCCGTTATTTTTCTGGGGCAGCTGGGCTTGATTAATAGGGGGGTTACTTAGTGCCAGGTCGCACTAGAGTCAGTAAGACGAGCGCCCTCTCAGGTGGAGTCCAGAATGAACTGGTATCCCTGGGACGTGAGCTACATGAATCGTGGTCGCTGCTTGCCGTATGTCCAGCTGAATGGTGCTTGTGAACCTCAGTTTGAAGGGGATGACGCTTGGAATCAGAAGGCCGCGACATGCGAAGGTCAAAGGTTGTCTCTCATTTGTATTTCTGCAAATTTATTGTTCGAGCTCATGTTGGAAGTCATCCGTGTTCGGGATTGCTGGGAGCTTGCATGCGACAGATAAGACTTGCCTGATTCTAAGCCTTGCCTCGTCTAGGTTGGAGGCCATCGCTCTTAGGTTGGAGGCCATCGCTAGTAGGTTGGAGGCGATCGCTCTTAGGTTGGATTGCCACATATTGCCACCTGTCATCTCTTGTTCAATCCCCCATCAGGCTTTGCCGAGGAAGGCGAACGGCGAATTCTTCGAACGCCCTGTACTTTGTGCTCCGGAGCTGATTTGCACAGGGGAAACTATCCACGTGCTGCCATCCACCTGTGTTAGCTTGAGTTTGAAGAGGCCATTTTGTCAATTTTCCCCTGGCAGGATATCTTGAGAATTGCATATTTTCCAGAATTGAGAAAACGTCCAAGGCAAACCAAAATAGAATGTAACGGAATTGAGGCTTATTAGGTTGGAGGCCATCGCTAGTAGGGTTGAGAATGTGTTTTTTTGCCCAGCCCCTGGATCAAATCGAGGTTAAGCGAAGGCTTCCAGAAGCTGGTTGCATGTCCTCAGCACCTTTCTGTGCTGGACGTTCGCCGGGAGATTGTCCATCCAGTACGAAGGACATGTGTGTTTGCCCAAGGTTGGTGAACGAATCTGCTTTTGAGAAGAATCAATCCAGCTGCACTCAAGAGAACAAGGTGACTCGAGAGAAGTTGGAGCACTGCGGCTCGATCTTCAACAGTTTCAATGGCCCCAATTTCGCCTTTGCGTACCAATCCGACCATGATCAAAGCTTTGGTAGTGTTGGCCTGCCCGATGACCACAACATCGCAGGAGGTGATACAGTGGAGGTGAAGAAGCTTCGTTTGTATCGTGGTTTGGGGGAGGCAAATTTTGTGATCGCGAATCGCATCCTTCAGACGTTGTGGCCCTACCCTGTGTGTGACTCATCAACAGTCAACTGTACTCAGTTCCCCTTGCCTGTGCTGCTCCGCGACTATGACGGAGAGCTCCTGGGGAATTACACGGATGGCCGAAAAGCCGATTGGATGCCGGAGGAGGGGCGTGGCGTTACCAATTACCACTGCACGTGGATGATCTTACACACGCTCTCGGTGAACGGTAAACCCTTGCTCAGTGCCGAAGAACAGACAGCCTTCCATGAAGCCATTTTGTATCTTTCTTCACAGTTCGACTGCAAGGTTTGCCGCAGCAATATCATGGACATCATCAAATTCTATGGCATGCCCAAAGGCAACCTGCGAAGTGACTATGCCTGGTGGTTCTGGCGAGCTCACAACCATGCTAATGAGCACACCTATGCCACACATTCGCCTAGTCAGCAGCAGATTGACCAAACAACATATCTCACGCCAGAGGACAGGCGCTGGGATATGTGGGCCAATGCTCATTATGAGCATCCGTGGTTTATGCCCCATGATGTGGCCATGAGAATGTGGAATCTAGAAGATCTATGAACAGTTGTAAGAAACACACTACTGATCACTCCCCTACAGAGCTTCATCTTTGCACATTGTGCACTGAATTCTTTTGCCGGGCGTCAGGTGTTCGTCAGACTTTCAAAAAGACCTGGCGTTCCATTGTAGAACCAATACAGTGACCAAACATTGGCCCATGTTTTTGTACAGCAGTATACAGTGGCCAGGTCATTGGATAGTTCGTGTGAATCAAGCTGTTGTGTCTTCGCACACGACCAAAGTGATCAATTCGGCACAAGAGTTTTTGTACAGCAGCATACAGCAGCCATGGGTCACTGGACGGTTCGTGCTAGAGACGGGACCAAAACTTGCTTGAACTGTTCATCGCGTGGTTCAAACTGTAAACGTGGCCATAAGCGAGGAATATGGAATTGTAGATATGAAAGAATGGTTGCAACATGCTAATATATCTTATGAACTAATTTCATAAGTCAGTTGAGCAGTGAAGCGCAATCTGGAAACTGATTTCACATGTCAGGTGGGACCTGTTTGGTGGGTATGTGTTCTCTATGTCTTTGTAGACTTGGAAGCCCTAGGTTGGAATGGTGAACATGTTTCTCAACAGTCCATTCTGGGCGTGTCAGGTGGCAACAGTGAGTTTGGCGAAGAGAAGCACCTGGCCCGGTCAATTTGAAGACCATTAAGCTCGATGTAAAAGGAAGAAACTGTTGATGCGTGCCAAATGTGTTCCATTGTTTTGCAGGCGCAGCCTCACTTTTCTCTAAGGAAAGCTTGTGTGTTTGACGATACGAAACCTAGTACATATTTGATAGCAAAATGAGATGTTCAAAGAAGTCCATGTTGCTTTTAGCAATCCTTCCGACGAGCAAAGCAGAATCCTAATACACTGTCGGACGACTTAGACTCGAAGGGAGCAGCAGACCACAGGAGCGTACATGTAAAAAAAATTATGCAGGGCAAGCCGGGCAAGCTATCCTAAGTGATAAGAGTCTTTTGGGACATGGACACGAAATAGCATCGCGACAAGCGATTGCCGCCGGGAAGGTTTACCAAACATGTGGACTAGCAATCGGAGTTTGAAAACGTATTTCATTGTGTACTTGATCGACCCTGTAAGTGGGTAAAGGAATGGGGCCTTTGCTTTAATGCTCATGCTCACATGAACATCTTGATTCTTGAAGTCAAGCATGGACATCGGTAGACAACCCACGTGGAAGAACTAGTCCTTTAGGTGTCATATGTTTCACCAAAGTTGCTGTGAAGAAAGAGATTGAGTTTAGGCGTTCTTTCGTACACAGCCATGGTGTTGACCTTTTGAAAAGGAACCAAACAGGTTGCACGAAGTCGTTTGGGTTTTGATGTTCAGAAGTAGGATTGCTGGGAAGAAACTTTGCTTCTTCAAAAATCTCAAGTGATCACTGCTGGTTCCCGAGATGGCAATGTTCTGCATATGGCAAAGCTTCGTTGCCACAGCGGGAAATCAAAAAGTGGAGTGGTGGCGCGCTTGTTGCGCAGAACATAGCGCATCTGTCGTGTGTGTGTGTGTGTCTGTGTGGGTGTTTGTTAGAGTCAAAGCAAACCTTTGTGTCAGAATCATTGCATGCGTGCATGTCATCATGTCATGCAATGGTCATTATGGCACTTGTCCAAGATCCTGGAGCAAGCCTGCATCATCCGGCCACTTCCCTCATGGCTGCATGATCCATAGACTGGCTACTTGTGTTGATGTTGCCCCAGCTCCAAACAAAACAGAAAGTTAACATCCAGCCGAGTCGACTGGATGCTCAGGTCCCTGTCGCAGTTGCTCAACGGCTGCGGGAACTGGGCATGGCCCAGGCCGAACGGCACAGATCTTCTGTGAAGGGTGGGGCACGTGGGAATCGTTTCTTCACCCATTTGGCACATGTGCAGTTTCGATGCATTTGTAAGCCACCCTTGGAAAACTTTTGGAAGAGAAGTCCCTACATCGTGCACCGAGAGGAGACACCTGGTGGTGTGGGAGCCGGTTTGAAGGGCCAACAGGCACAAGTGATTGTGGAGCAGAAGAACCCTTGCAACCAGGTTAGACCCTGTTTTTGTCAAGAGAGTACTTGTACTCCTTTCTTTCCCAAACAGTGTACGCATGGCACGGTGTAGCTTGTCACTGTCCCACCCTCAAACGGGCTGTTTGAACACATCTTTCCCGGATTCATGTCAGGGATTCTCCAAGCTGAAGCTGTCGCACTATCTGACTCTCCCAAGTAAGGAATATGTGATAGTACAACGGTTCATTCACAGCTCGGTGGGGCCTCCTGTGTAGTTCTGGATCATTTCAACCTCTGGATGGCTTCCTAGGTATTGACAGATATAGGAGCAGAGACATAGAGCCTGCAAGAGTTAGCTTGGGCTTCGAACATTCGGGAATGTACAGTGACAGTTTGTTTGGGAGAAGGCGAGAACTTAGTTAACAACGATGTGCAAAGTTGCATGCGGCAAGGGCTTCAACCCAAAGATGAGCGGCTAGCAGCACCCTTTGCCGACTCATAGTTTTGTCATTTGGCCCAAAGACATTGCAGATGTAGGAATTGCTTTGAGGATTGGGTTTGTTGCATTCGTCGCAACAATGCTTTGAATTACCCAATGGAAACCAGACTGACTTGGAGCAACAGGAAGCTAGCTTCTGGCTGCTCGCGGGACGAGTATGAAATGACAAAAGATGGTGTTCTGCCAGAAGATATGGAGGCCAATGCTACTGTATTAGGTTGGAGGCTATCACTATTGGGTTAAAGGCCATCGCTCGTAGGTTGGAGGCTATCGCTAGTAGGGTTGGAGGCCCTCACTGGTAGGCTGGAGGCCATCGCTACTAGCTTGCAGGCCATCGC